CTGCCATCCACAAACCAAGCAGCTCCCTGTTGGTCACTTAGGAGCTGTTTGTAGGACACTGCCCAAGGGACGATGGCATCTAGCAGCTCCTCACACAGTTCCAAAGTCAGTAGAGGGGAAGAGGCTCTCTGCTTGTGAGCATCTCCTCCTTGCGTTCCCCAGGTGGCATGATCCTGCATAAACCATTTCCGTTTTATTATGGAAATTCCTGGGCACTGTCCTCCCTACTGGAGTGTTATCGGACATTATGCAAGACGTCATGAGTATTTCAGGTTTCAAGATTATTTTATGACTTTTAGTCACGATGGTGGTTTCAATTAATGTCCAATAGCAAGCCAATAACTGCCCTTCAAATGGAAATGCTCTAGTTCAAAGTCCTAGGAGTCGTTGCCAGTAGGCACTCACAGGCTTTTGCCGTAAGCCCAGCCTACCGTATGCATAGAGTTATCCCACAGAGAATTTGTCCATACCAGCACTCCAGTTTCTACTCTACACTGTGTAGGCTGGAGCAATCTTACTGGTTCCCATTTAGAATGTCCAACCAATATTGTCTGAAGAGTAGATTTACATACCTTCTATTTTACAATATTGAGTAGAGAAAACATTCCCCAGTCAGACAGTGTCCATCTCCATAACCACTTCTCCTACAAACTTGTACCTTACATTCCTCACTGCAACCTCCTTTGGGACATTATTAACAGGCTTTAGTTTTACAATACCAGGTAAGGATAATGTTCCCCAGCCAGACTTAATGTCCATTCCCACAATACATTCAGATAAAGGAGACATAACTTCTTTAAATAAAGTCTATTTACATTCCAACTTTTGCCCAGCTGGCATGGCTCAGTGGTTGAGAGTTGACCTATGAACCAGGAAGTCACGGTTTGATTCCCAATTAGTGCACATGCCCAGGTAGCAGGCTCGATCCCCAGTGTGGGGCATACGAGAGGCAGCCAATCAATGATTCTTCCTCATCACTGATGTTTCTGTCTCTCTCCCTCTCCCTTCCTGAAATCAATAATATATTATGAAAGTTGGAATGTTTAATTTATATGTATATATACATACATATAAATTAAACATAAAATTAAACATATATATACATACATATAAATTAAACATTCCAACTTTCATAATGTTCTCTCAATTACATCATGGTTTCACCAATGGGTTTGGTACCACGGTATAAGAGGTTCCCATATTAAGGAATCCTGAAAACGTCTCCAATTCCTGACCACTGTACCCACTCTTGTGCAAGAAGCTTTGGATCCCCACCACCACCATCACCACCCTCATGAGCTGAACCAAGGGAACCTGGCCCTTTAGTCAATTTTTATCTAATTTAATCTGCCTTACCAATGCCTCAAGAAATTGCTGGTCAGGTTTCTCATGGTAACCTCTGCCTTTGGGTTTTTAAATTTCTCCAAACTGAAGTAAATAGAGCAGACTTATCCGGGGCTCTGTAATGTTGGAGAGCCGCTTGGCCTGCTCAAACTTAGGTAGTCTTATATGAAAACCTTTGTTTTTACCCTCTCAATGTCTGCTTTATTCACCCCATTTTCCTTTTTTTAGAAACTGTTTATTTGCTATCAATTTTATTTCCATTCTGTTACGAGACCACGGGAGAACAGCTTAAGACACTCAGTGGCTATTCCTACCCAATTGGTGGCCTGAGCATGGGGGCTGCCGACAAGTCTTCAGTGGCAGTCTGAACGCTTCTTCAGCAGGAAGCTGTGCACCTTCACCGGTCTGTGACCTCCGTCTGCAACCTCAGGCTGAGCAGCAGTGAACTCAGGAGCTGGAGCCATCCATTCACCCTGAAATTCCTCCTTGGTCACAGCCTTTCAATCTCTTCACGATCTCTGTAAAGGTCAAGATCAGGCATGACCTCCCCTGGGTGTTCACAGACGGTGCCAGGCATGTGCAGTACTTCCTAGGGCAGCATCCACCACATCAGACCCACTGAGGGAGCCCCCGTGTGTTGCAATGTCCTTCAGTGCAGAGGAAAGTCTGTTACACAGACCAATGGTGGGCAAGTTAACATAAGACGCCTCTGTGAGAGGCTGGTGTCAGCCCTAGGATCAGTAACAACCAGAAGTCTCAGCTTCCGAAGGCTCCCTGGATCTGGTTGGTGAAGGTTCCAGGAGTGAAGTGGCCGGCAAGAGGAGCGGCTCCAGTGGCAGCAGCAAACTTCAGCGCAGTTCACGGACCAGTATTCCTGGACCATATGACACTGACATCAGCGAAGTTTTCAATGGCAACAGTGGCACCAGCAGTTGACAGCAGAAGCTTCTCCCAGGTTCCCTTCAGATTTATGATGCAGATGCCGTCACTCTTCCTTTGTGGATGTACTGTTCCATCTAGAACTCAAGGTTGGTGCCACCAAAGTGGGTTCCTGCTGCAAGCAATTTGAGGACAGCCTCTTCTTTCATTTGCAGGATATCAAGGGGTCTGAGCATTGTGAAATTTCCCTTTAAGTTACCTGGGAACCAAGACCAAAGCCAAATGGGCCCTTCCCTGGGTAGCACAAAAAGACTCCTGCATTTTTTAAAACTATTTTTATTGATTTTTAGACAGAGGGGAAGGGAGAAAGAGAAACATCGATGTGAGGGTGCACATCAATCAGTTGCCTCCTACATGCCCCTCCAGGGGATCAAACCTACAAGCAACCGGGCATGTGCCCTGACTAGGAATTGAACCGGCCACCTTTTGGTGCATAGGATGACGCCCAACCAAGCAAGCCACACCGGCTAGTGCCCACCATGGCTTTTAAGGAAGAGAGAGAGGGAAAGCGAGAAACATCAATGATGAGAGAGAATCATCAATCAGCTGCTACTACTAGAGATAGAGCCTAAAACCCAAGCATATGCCCTAACTGCAAATAGAACCCTGACCTCCTGGTTCACGGGTGGATGCTCCATCACTGATCCACACTGGATGGGCTCTTAATAACCATTTAAATTTCTTAATAACCATTTAAATTTTTCTTCTTTCTTAATAACCATTTAAATTTTTCTGCCTTGCTAAGACCAGTCTACTGACTCTGTCCTTTGCTTTTCTTCATTCTCTTATTAATTAACCTAATATTTTTATTAGCATCTATGAAACCCAGAAGCAAAGCTGAGAGAGCAAATTCACAAGGCTTCCCCAACTATCCCTTGGTTTTACAGCAGTTGGGACTCTTTTACATGGGGTGTCCATGTAAAAGAGTCCCCCTTAACCATAGCATTTACCATGAACTCAGTAACAGGCACATTCAGCAAGTGCCTATGGGATTATCATAAAGATAATCCCACAAGGTTTATACAGAAAACGTTATCTACTTCATCTGGGGTGTTCCACTTGACATTTATGGGGGAAATGGGCAGTTAGTCCCCTTTCTCAGGGTAAACAGATCTTACAGTGGCTTTTATGCAGTCCACCAGGCTGGCTGTTCCCTTGGGAATGACCTGCTTTGTGTCTGGATCACATATAGCCATCTGTGATTGTTCCATAACGAGCTATAAATCCTGCATCAACCCAAACATGCTCTTTCCCCCATTGTGGCATTTAAAACCAGATACTGCTCCTAAATTAATCACTCTCACAGAACATCTTACTAAAGGATGTTCTTCAGAAAGCTATTACTGATCCACAATATGAAACAACTTCTTCACACTATACTCCCTGGTTTCAAATAGTATCTTGGTTTTGCCCTTACCTCACACCAAGTGCCTTCTTAGTGACCAGAAGTCTAGAGGTACTTTCTGTTGTCCTTACCTAATTTTTCCCTTGGGGTTAGTGAGTGACCAAAGCTCAGACTCACTGAAATTTGGGTTTGGTCTAGGATCAAGGTCTGACTCAGCACACTCTTTTAGTTTCATTTTAGCTATTACAGATAATAGCCAAGGGATTGAACCAATGTCCTGGTAATTGGATCCATCTCTAATCTCCATTGGTGACTTTTATGTTTAGTACCTAAGAGCAGCACAGCTACTGCTCCATACCATGGGCAACCAAATGGCCAATGAGGAATCAAAGGTTCCACATTACCCACTCCTTTATCCTTTTTTCTTTTTCCCCAAACTACATTTCCATGAGCCAGGGTCATTCTAGCAAATCTCACTTATGTGACACCAAATGTCCAGGAAAAATTCCACGTTAAAAGAAAAAAATATCATTTGTTAAAACCCAGTAAGGAAGACCTTATTCAAAGTGGTGCCCTGATATGTAATCTAATGAAAGCTGTGGACCAAATTTTAGGTGAGTGACCAAGGAGATATCTAGCAGCTGTCTGAATGTCTCCAAAGCCCATCTAACTAACCAAAACATCCAGTTTATTCCAGGTTTTTCAGCCTTCTGAGGGTCCCTAAGTCCCTAGACAGCCCCCAGTGGAGGGCAAGGAGCCCAAATTTTAAGTGACAATAGAGATGGGCAGGGAAAAAGGTCTGGCCTGGTGGACAGAGGGATGGAGGAGAAAGGGTTTGGAGGGAGACATATCAAAGGACTCAAGGGAACTAGAGGAAAGACTGAAGGTGGTATGAGGAGAAAGGAACAGCTTCTACAATGGGAAGGGGGAGGTCTTAAAGGAGCCAGCTTGAAACGGCAAGTTTCCCCAAGAGGCCAGTGAAGTTTCATATTATTCTCAGCAAAAGCATGCCAACAAAGATGAAGGTAGACAGAGTTGGTGGAACAGGGGTTCAACCAGAGAGAGAGCCAGGAAGAAGAGTCTCCCAGCCCAGTTGTTACTTTTCAAACAAAGAAGCCTAGAACTCTAACCCATCTTTTTTCAAACAGCTGCTTGCTTGGGACTCTAACCCAGCCTGTGTTTATCTAGGACTCCATCCCATCATCTGGAGCAGTGGTTGCCAACCTTTTGGACCTCACGGACCACCAGTGGTCCGCAGACCACCGGTTGGCGACCGCTGTTGTGGAGCACACACAGAATCTAAGAATCCAATCTGTCCTTACCAGCTTCCACGGACGTTTGTCCGGAGCAATGGTTCAGGAGTCGGACTCACCAATGGATCCCCGATCCATCAGTCAGGAGGAAGATAAAGGCTTCAAAGGTATGCACTTTTAGGGTCCTGGGTGAGAGGTCTGGGGGTCCAATGATGAATCTGATCCTATGGGTGTTGTGGCACACAACTGTTAAAAGGAAAATAATATTCAGTGATACTTGTTAACTCATGGTAAGAAGATCTTGGGGAATGGAGAGCTAGGCATAGGGACCACTGCAATGAAATTTTTTAATGTAGGTAGGAGACTGGGCTCAATGCCGAATGCTGCCTGTGTATATGGGAATTTAAAGCTAAGGAGCAGAGTTGGGTCAGTGGATAAAAAATACTAAGAGAAAACATCAGGGGTAAGAAGGCTTTAACTAAACAGACCTAACAGGATTCTTGCTAAAAAATAAAATAAAAAGGTCAGAGTGATCAGACATCACCTGGGACATGGCATAGGGAAGGACCCCAATCCAATATCGAGGATAGGGGCTTCTTGCTAAACTGACGTGGCAGGGTTCTTGCTAAAATTGCATTTTACAAGGACGTGCATAGATGGCCAAGGAGAAGGTTCGGGAACCTGGCTAAACTTTGATCAAGCAAAAAATGTTTATCACCTGTTTCTTCCTTTACTCACACACATAACGCTTCTGATGCCAGATGTGTGAGTTTTTTCTCTTCCCCACACCAATCATTTCTCCAACACCAGCCAGGTGTCCTGCAATCCAATGCAATTCCAACACTAACTACAGTTAGTGCAGACCTCACTGAGTAAAGGCTCAGTCCCACAAGACTGCATCCCCAGTTCAGGCACTAATCACAGGTAGTAAGACCCCATGTTACCCAGAATTTCTGTCCAACTTGGCTACAAATCAGAGGTTCCCATGACCCCGTCATTAGATTCAATCACCTGCACAGCTCACAGAACTCAGAGAAACACTTACATTTACTGGTTTATTATATAATAAAAGATACGACAAAGGACACAAACGGCAGGTGAAGAGATACATCGGGTGAGACCTATAGGGGTCCAGTAAAGGAGCTCCTGTCCCTGTGGAGGTGGGGTGCACCGCCCTCCTGGCACGTAGATCTGTTCACCAACCCGAGATTTGGAGATTTTTTTAAAAAATATATTTCTTTATTGATTTCAGAGAGGAAGGGAGGAGAGATAGAAACATCAATGATGAGAGACAATCATTGATTGGCTGCCTCCTGCATGCCCCCTACTGGTGATCGAGCCCACAACCCAAGCATGTCCCCTTGGCTGGAATAGAACCTGGGACCCTTCAGTCAGCAGGCTGACGCTTCATCCACTGAGCCAAGCAAGCTAGGGCGAGATTTGGGGATTTTTATGGCGACTTCATCACATAGGCACATTCAACTATTAACTCAATCTCCAACCCTTTTCCCCTTCCAGGATGACGGGGAGAGGGGCTGAAAGTCCCAAGCTGCTTATGACAGATGGGTCTTTCTGGTGACCAGACCCCATCTTGAAGCTATCTATCCAGGAGCCAACCAAGAGGTGTCTCTTTAGATCAAAAGACACTCCTATCACCCAGGAAATTCCAAAGGATTTAAGAGCCTTGTGTCAGAAAACAAGTTCAAAGACCAAATATTAAAAAGAAAAAAGCTTCTAGTACTCGTCGCTTAGGAAATTACAAGGGTTTCAGGAGCTCTGTGCCAGGAACCAGGGGCAGACATATTTCAAAAACCAGGATTAATAAATTTTGTCCACGATCTTTTTGATGATGGCCACAAATTTGAGCATTGGAGTTTGAATCACTAATCTATTTAAGCATTGCATGTGTTTGAAAATTACATAAAGAAACCCATGTGCATCAGGTGGATTTTATAGCTGAAGGCAACTTACGAAGACTGTTAACGTTTCTGTTTAAAACAGCACAAGCCCACCTTTTAAAATGTTAAGAGTTGTTCTGCTTTTGTAAGACTCCCCTCCAATTACATTTCTACAACAGAACTGCTCTCCAAGGCATTTCATTTCAACTGAAAAATGTCAATTTCATTCTAGAACATTTAAAAATTTTGAATGTCATTTGGCTTTAGGAAATTTCTCTCAATTAAACAAAAATCATACCTAGACACAAAATACATGTTTCTTACATAAAACTATTTCTAATTATTGTTTACCTACCAATGGCTCATCTTAAAAAGGGGGGCATATTTATTTCAGTTACAGCTAAATGAAGCTGTGTTGTTTTGAAACCTGCACCAAATTTATTCTCTCATAATCAGTTAGCTGTTCCAAGAATTTTTTAGAAAAAGGCACTTGCTGCATTACAAAGATGCTGTGCTAGGTTTAAAAAGACTATGCTGAACACTGATATAAGGTTTTACATTTTATTTGCATCAAGAGAACCAAACTAGCTACCGGTGGCACATCTTAAAGCAACAGAAAGCATTTTATTATACTGCACACCTACGCTATTACAGCATTTGGTTTTTTAAATAACTTCGTTTTCTCAAGGAATTTATGAGGTAGCTGTCTTTCCCATCTATCCTAACCTATTTGCGAATGTGTAAACAACCTCCGTGGCAGAGAGAGAGACCTTCAATGTGCACACTACTTTCCACTGAAAATCCAAACAGACCCTCACGTTTTAATTGCACCTCAAGCTATTCTTTTTCGTGACTCTTTTTTGGAGACTGCTGTACCGGAAGTCCGCCAATTAATAAATGAATGACTCAGTTAGTGGCAGAGAAATAACTGTGCACTGGAGGCTAAGAAGGCCCATCGCTTCAGCATTTGGTAGCGGCTGTGGCTCCTACTGCCCCAGGCTGCCTCGGACCCATGAGCTCCCCAGTCAGCGCCACTACACAGGCCTGTCAACAGCAGCGCTCGGCAGGGGGTCGCCACAAGAACTCAACCAATCACTGCACTTGCTTCTCAGACATAAACAAAGAGGGCTGCTTTTTAGATGCTCTGCCACGAGACATGCACCTGAAAACAATTAAAACACAACATGCTTCTGGAAAGAATACTCCTTTTCTAAATGAGACCACGAATGCTACTAATAAAGGTATCTGTTCGGGGTAGGACTGGCTCTCCGACCACATTTAGTTTTAACCTTGTAACGTATCAAAACTGCAGCACAGAAGGAGCCAAAATGCGAACGAGGGACAAAAGGCAGCCGGTGTCTTCGGCGGTCGTGTTTATAAAACCCACACGGCCGGGACCATTCGAGCCGAGCACACCCTGGATGAGGCAGCCCAAAGTGGGCGAGGGCCGCCCGCCCCCCGCGTCCACAGTCAATGCGGGTGCCCAGGCCCACGGAGCCCTACCACCCCCGCCGCAGCTCCACAGCCTCCCGGGCCCCGGGAACCCTAACGCGGGTCTCCATGAGTCTCCAGAACCTCAGCTGCAGGTTTCTGAGCCCCGTCCCCAAAGTTCACAGCATCTTAATGGCGTTTCTCTTCAGAGCCTGGGCTCCCGACAGCGCCCTCCGACCAGGCCTGCTCCCCACCTTGGAAGGGGAGCGCCCCTCTCCTGAGACGCCCCCACCCCCGTTCGGCCACTCTACTCACAGGCTGGCGGCGTCGGGGGGCAGGGGGCTCGACAGCGCTCTCCAGCTCGGCGCGGGCAGTTTCCTGCGACTGCAGTCCAGCAGAGGGCCGCGGCAGGAGCAGGGCGCGGGGCAGAGGCCCGCCCGGGCGGCCGGCAGCAGGAGGAAGGCCTGGGCGAAGAGAAGGAGCCGGCAAAGGGGTCCGCACCGACACTGCAGCAGCGGCGCCTCCCGGACGCCTCGGGGCGCCGGCGCCATTTTCCTCCCCGACCTGGACTCGGCCGAGAAGAGCCGCCAGTTGCAAAGGACGGCTTCGCGGAGACGTTCGTCGGCTGCACGACCACCCCGAGCCCTGCTGTCGCCCGTATCCTCTAGACAGGCGAGGGGCGGACACAGCGCGGCAGCGGGGGCGGCGACCCAGGACACACGGCAGCAGCCCTACAGACAACGCTCCCCCCCCCGCCCCGCCCCGCGACGCAACGTCTTCACGCACGGGAGCCGACCAATCGGTGCCGGAGGAAGGGATCGCGTCGGAGGCGGGACTCCGTGGAGGGGGCGGGGCCGGAAACAAGGAGGTCCTCAAGGAGGACTTTCGGTGTCTGGGACTGAGGGGCGCCCTTCCGTGGTTCCCGCACCGTTCTTCCGCAGGAGGGCGCAGTTGCTCCTTAAGAGGGAGCAAGGAGCGCCCGAGCGCTGGGAGTTGGAAGTCCCGACTTGGAGTTTATCTGCTACAGCAGCGGTTTTCAACCCGTGTGCCACAAGAATTTTTAAAACGTGGAATACCTATTTAGCCAGGGGCACTGACCTCTTTTCCCTTAGATTGCCAAATGACAGCAACCAACACAACAACAGCGCTCCAGTGTGAATGCCCAGTCTTGAACCTCAAATATATAGGTCATGTAAGAGAGTCGCATCTTATTGGTCACCCCGCATAAGCTTGCGTCTGATTGGTTAATTCTTTGGTACCAGAAATCCTTATAGACAAGTATAGGCACTTGATTTTCTTTGTAAGTCACTTTGGAGCAAAATGGGTAGGTAATTACTATTATAATTATTTGTTGTATACCAATCAAAATTATACCTACTTTTTGTCAGATTGTCATATATATTTTTTGGTATGCCGCAGAATTTTAGCAATTAGTTGATGTGTGCCATGAGCTGTAAAAGGTTGAAAATTGCTATACTAGCCCTAGCCGATTTTGCTCAGTGGAGAGAGCCTCGGCCTGGGGACTAAAGGGTCCCGGGTTCATTTCCGGTCAAGGGCATATGCCTGAGTTTCGGGCTTATCACCAGTAGCAGGTGTGCAGGAGGTAGCTGATCAATTATTCTCTCTTATCATTGATGTTTCTATCTTTCTCCCTCTCCCTTCCTCTCTGAAATCAATAAAAATATTTTCTTAAAAAAGAAAGAAAATTGCTATACTATATCGTTATAGAAAATAGTCTTTTATCTTCTCTGGGTTCTAAGAAAGGGAAATGGCAGAGGGACTACCTTCCAAGTCACAGACACAAAAAGGATTCTGGGGCCTCCATCTGGCCCCTAAGCCTCCAGAGCCCAGCTGGGGCCTCCTCTGCACCCGCCTACTTGTCTTCAGCTGCTACAGTCCTGCAGGTGCGTGACAACTCCGCTCTAACAGGAATCATGTCGTCACTATGGGCAGATGGACCACGGACCATCCTGAAGGCAGAGGCCCTGTTCATTCATTCATCTGTGTACCTCCAGTTTCTATTCTAGCTTCGAGTTCAATAAATGATGGGACAGCACCTGCAAGGCACGTCTCTAAGGAAAATACTCTTCTTTCCTCTGTTTTGGAGAATGCTACCTTATATACACACTCACAGAAAAGCAAACAGAACATGTAGATAAAGAAAGTGTTGAACAGTCAACAAAGTGAAGGCTGGGTATGAGGACATTTTTTATTTATCCTGAAGCAGAGGCTATGGAAAGCCTACTAGGAACAGTGATGATCAACCACCTTATGCTCACTCAGCTATGTATTATATCCAAGATTATGAATAAGACTTTAGCTTTTATACTTTTCAACGAGGCTTTGCATCTGTTACTTTGTTTATTCCCTCAATGACTGTGAAATTGGTAAGACAATTATTACTGAGGAGGAAACAAATTCACCCAAGACAGGCTGGCTGACATGACTATGGGTTTCCTGACTCTTCAAATTAAAAACCTGCAGGTTAAAGAGACTGGCAATGCCTAGGTCACAGGATTGTCCTAGAAAGTAACTGAAATCAATCTTTCCATGGTAGGTTTGGAGTCACAATTATACTTTTAAAACTCTTTTTCTGTTTATCTGGAGAAAAAAAGCCAAAAGAATCTTCAGGTAAATGATTGGAACCAGTAAAAAGGTTCAACAAGGTTATGACTTCAAGATCAACATACATCAATATTATTCTAATAAATCATCAACTATAATATATGTTTTTTCAAAGCTAGCATATGCAATAGCAATAAAATCTAAGATACCTAGATCAAACAAGAAGAGCAAGAGAAAAAGTATATGGAGAACACTACAAAATGTTACTTAAAAGTATTTTAGCCCAACCGGTGTGGCTCAGTGGTTGAGCATCCACCGATGAACCAAGAGGTCACAGTTCGATTCCCTTTCAGGCCACATGCTTCAATTGCAGGCTCAATCCCCAGTGTGGGGTGTGCAAGAGGCAGCCAATTAATGATTCTCTCATCATTGATTTTTCTATCTCTCTCTCCCTTCCCTTTCTCTCTGAAATCAATAAAAATCTATTGTAAAAAATAAAAACATATTTTTAGAAAGTATTTTTAAAAAACCTAAGTAGATGGAGAGTTATACTATGATTTTAGACTGAAAGAATTATTATTATAAAGGTATCAATTCTTCCAGGTTGCTTTGTAGATTTATACAATTCCAATAAAAATTCCCAATGGAAATGGCAGTGCAAGGACAAAATAGTAACCAAGATACTCTTGGGTTGTTGGGGCGGGGGGTGGGGAGGCGGGGGGTGGATGCGGGGATGGGGGCGGGAGGGGGGCGGGGGGAGGGGTGTAGAAGAACTTGCTTCACCAAATATCAAGATTGGTTTTGAAAGCTATAGTAATTAAAAAGTATAGTGTCTCCAAAGCATAAGTTTAATAGACATTGGGTGCATATCAGAGACTTCATGGGACATTTGATTTATGGCGCAGGTGGAACTTCAGAGCAGGGGAGAAAGGACAGGCTTTTCAATAAATGGAGCTGAGATCATCAGATAATCATATGGAAAGAAATGAAACTGGATCCTTTCTCACATCACATTCAAAAATCAATTCAAGACCTAAACATGAGAGGCAAAACCATGCAGCTTTTAGAAGAGAATTAGTGAAGACTATCTTTTTCACTTTGGAGTAGCAAAGGATATCTGAAAAGAGAAAAAAATCATTAACCATAAAAGAAAAGGATAAATTTGAACAGATTAAAATAAAAATTCACTCACAAAAGACACCACAAAAAGATATTTGCAACGTACATAACCAACAAATTACCCAGAATTTGAAGAAAAAGAAAAAAAAAGGGCCTACAAATCAATGAGATAAAGGCAAACAACCCACATTCACCTGGGAATGAGGCCAGCATTGGAGCTCATAATTCTAGGTGGTGAACGGGAGTGCTGACAGTGCAGCAGGGAGGAGCCAGGTGTCAGCAGAACGAGTTTGATATGAACCCCCTTTTGCCTAAATATAGGCCTGAACAGGTATGTACAATGTAACTGATTGCAGGAATAACTGGACTGATTTCCCAACAAACCATGACCGCATGATACACCTCTCTCTCTCTCTCTCTCTCTCTCTCTCTCTCTCTCTCTCTCTCTCTCTCTCTCACACACACACACACACACACACACACACACACACACACACACACACACGCCTGGCTCCCTCCCCAGTCTCAGCATAATCTCGTTTTGGGGTTGAAAATGCTGACTCCATTGTGCACCCAACAAACCAGCCTGTCCCTGGGCGGCCTGAGCTTCTGAGCTAACTTGTTAGTCCCATTATCCTTTATCCTTCTAAGACTGGGAGAGAACGTGCTGTCACTCTGGATGAGGCATTGTGACGGTTTAATAAGCTCTTGGGAACCTCAGGGTTTGATTATTCTCAGCAATCAGCAGGCGCAGTCGTGCGTGCGTTTCTGGGCCCTCCAAGCTCACCCTGTTTGCCACCTTCCAGGCCTGGAATGTACCCACAAACTCTTTAGCTGAGTGAAAGCCCAGGGAACTGACGCGCATGCCGGCACATGCACGTGTGTGTATGCACATGCCCAAGAGAGAGCTGAAGGCCAGAGGCCTCACGGTTGTCATTATCTCCAGGGCAGAACCTTCCAGTCCCTGAAAGGGACCCTGGTGCTCTGCCAAACTGCCAGACTCTCATTCTGAATAATGAAGCTCTCACTGATTATCCTGATGATGTCCCAGGAGACCCCGCCCAGGGAGGCCCATCTGCTGCCAATCCTGGTTCCTTGTTCCACTCCCCAGTGGAAATGAGGGTGTCCCTGCAGCTCCCCCACCTCACTTCCCCAGCATAATGCACATCCCCAAGGGACCCTGCTGAGATGACAGTCGCAGTTTATTAATTGGACTAATGAGAGGCCTCCTGGCAGGGAGGGAAAGAGAAGCCGGAAGAGTGAGAAGGAAGCGGTTGAGACAGGAACATCCTGAAACACAGGAGCTCAAGACACCTTCTGACTGGAACCAGCAGCTCGTTTTCTGAGAGTCTGAGGCCAGGGCAGGCAGGGATTTGGAAGATGGTTTTATGAAACTTGTATTTTTTATAGGAAACATGCTAATATTTCATCAGCAAATTGTAACAGCCTATGTTCCAGGCATTTCACTGTTATATGTACCTATCTCCGTTAATCTTCACAAGGGTCATGAGATGGGAATCCTTACGCTCATATTGCCCATGAGAAAACTGAGGCCCAAAGGGATCCGTCCAAAGTCACACTTGTAATAAATAACAGAGCCCAAATTCTTAATCACAGCCACTGCGGGGAGTGGTAGGAAATGAGGCTCCAAGCAAACATAACTGTGGCATTAATTGAGCATCTTCTATATCAGGCGGAGAGAGCTAAGCCCTTTAGAGGTAGCAGCACCTCCAACCCTATAATACAAGTAGGCTGGTTTTCCCTATCTTATAGGTAAGGAAATATAGGTTCAGAGAAGTGAAATAATTTGCCTAAGGCCACCCAATTAGAAAGTGTCAGAGCAAGGATCCGCTGTCCAGAGTCTTACCCTATTGTATTGCCGCCCCTAATCTCTTTTTGCCCTGAGGTCCTGCAGGCCTCTTGCATAAGAGCAGAGAGCTGCACGGGGCCTCTGGTCTTGCATAAGAGGAGAGAGCTCCA